TTTCGCTATTTTCCATTTGAATAAAAGAGAAGAATAAAGATTAGAATGTTGACAGCAGATTCAAGCGGAAAATAGCGAAATTATGTAGACCAAAGTTTCAAGAATGATGAGTAGATGCCTGAGCGTCACTGTTTGCGACATTCAATCATATCATTCAGCGTCTCTAACCATCGGTGACTGTGATTTCGGGTTCTCCAGCCAGGGAGCCTAACGGGACCTGCGTGACCTAGTCTCCTGGTTAGGGTTTTCATACCCTCATGCCAGCTCTTAGTTTGACCGCCCTTGACCTTTTTCCAATCGCCAATTGCCTCGACAAACATCGCTCGCCGTGGAAGCCTATCTGGTGACATACACATGTCGCAATCGGCGTAATCTATGAAGGTCGACCACTTCTAGTGGACGACCTCGATTACCTAAAACTTTATGCCTGACCTCAACAGTACTCGTCCGGTTTCCCCACCAGACTCGTGCAATGCTACGTAAAAAGCGATGTTCAAACACCGACAATTACAACTGGTTGCTCGGGGACATTGGAGAATATGACAGGGAACCCACACTAACGATGTTCTTTTCGTCATTGCGTATCAGGCGAGAATGCTTGAAACGGAATGTATGCACAGTTTGATCGCCTACTCTACGTTGACCAAAGAGGTTCTCTTTCTTTCACCTGCCCAAAAAATTCCTGTCCACCTTACACATGGCCACTAACTTTGTATACATTGTGCGTTTGGCGGCGATCAGTGAATTTCTCTGTACGATGGTGATCATGTCGCACAACTTCATGAAGTAGTGGTCGTATTAACCATATATGAAACTCTGGTTACCACCGATGTTTCATACCTAAATTTACAGCGATTACTTTTGTACTGTCTAAGACAGCTCGTCATTTCATATCCGGCTTACTGTTTTTGCGCAAAAGCTGATGAATGTGTGATCGCTGTCCCTCTGCTCACTATAGGTTTACCTTAATGCTATACTTTCATGTTGCCAATTCTTATCCAGGTTTGGGTACCTCTTCTAGCAAAGAGGCAAAAGAATACTTCTCAGATATGGCAAGGCATCGAATTCGCTTCCGCTACTCAGGTCAGGAGGATGACGTAAGTATCCAGTTGGCATTTGACAAAAGCAAAGTAACTGATCGGAAAACCTGGCTAACTGATTGGACCGCAGAACGGAAGCGTCGTCGCGAGCTAGGCCTACCCGAACCCTATCTTTATGGAAAAGACACACGCGCAGTCAGTTACCATGATTTCGTACACAAAGAGTTGGTTCTCTTTTCCAATTTGGACAATGAACGTAGCATACCATCTGTCGTCGACGGTCTCAAACCTGGCCAAAGAAAAGTAAGTTCTTCATGGGAATGCTTATTCCGTTCGGACAATATTAGGTTTCCTTCTCAGTGACAGTTTGTTTGTGCGTTCCTGTATGCTAAATTTTCGAGTGTTTTTCGGCACAAACACAAACAAGAAAGTCGTATTTTCGTTATTACAATTTAATGAGCACTAAACAATCAGAACTCCACAGTCAAATACCTACTGTTCGGTTTGATAGATGAACAACTTTAGCTCTAAAGTGGATTGAGGAGCCGCATGTGGCCCCAGCTTGACGGTCCTTTTTCCCCTTGAACTCAAAGCTGTGTTCTTGGACATGATAGATGTAATCCCATCCATGATCTCTTGCCTTTAATGAGTTCCACCGAAGTTAACAAAATGAAAGGAGTTAGACTGTCCAACTGTATAAGTAGAATCGACTAAACGGAAAATATCAGTTTTTGCTTTGGACAACCATTTACCATGAACGTTCGTGCGCCGGTTTTGGTTACCCACTTGGATGAAGCAGTGGGACAAAAAGTTTGAAGTAGAGTCGAGGAAAAAATGGAGACGACACAGCCATTACACTGTATCTAACTATTGGTTCAGTGATCTCCATCTAGGGAGTCTAACGTGACATTTATGACTGATTCTCATGGTTAAGGTTTTATTACCCTCGGGCCAAGTCTTATTTTGACCACCTGTTTTTTCTACCGACTACCTGCCCCGGCAAACATTCACCATGAAAACCTATGATGCATAACACATGCCTCAACCAACGTTATCTATCATAGTCAACCACTTGCTAGGGTGGACGACCGCGGGGTACAAAAACTGTTTCTAACCCCAGCATTGCTTGTCCGGTTGCCCTACCGAATTCTTGCAATGCTGCCTAAACAGCGATGTTCGAGCATCGGCGGTCTATCTATCCTCTTTTCTTAATGGCCAAGTTTCTGCGTTGTATAGCATAACTGGCCTAACTGCCGCAGCATATACTCGACTCAAGTTGGTGAATGTTAGCCGAACCTTTCAGCCGGATGTCGCGACGGGGCCACAGATGTCTCAAGTTGGCAAATGCCAACCGAGCCTTCTTAGCTGACACTTCATCCATGATGCGTCCACCGGGTGAGATGTAGCTGCCCAAATAACAAAATTTCTCCACTTGCTCTATTACTTACACAGTTAGAGTGAGGCTGGGTGCTGGACCAACACAATCCTATAGTAATGTTTTACACTCTCAAGATGCAAAACTCATATTGAACATGGCTACACTAGCAGTCAAACTACCCAGAGAAGCTTGCAACTTGCATGGATCCTCACTTCGATGTATAATGTCGTCCGCATATTCCAAATCAAACAGTCTACCATCATGGAGCAAACCGCTATCCTCGTACGGAGATGAGACTGTTTCCGAAATGAAATATATGAAATGAAATATCAGTTAAATAGAAAACGGAGAGAGAGAGGGCAACCCTGACGAACGCCGATTTCTGTGGTGAATTCGAGCAAAGAAGTGCTGGGACTCGACTTCGGCTATTAGTATAAAGAGATTGTAATATTGACTTAAACTTTTCGGGCTCACCTTTCAGGGAAAGGCAGCGCCAGACTTCAGAGCGGTCGACTAAAGTCGAAAGTCGCTTTCAGATCGAGAAAGGTAGAAATGGTGGGTCTGAGAAAGGAGTGTCTGTGCTCCAGAATTTGGTGACGAATGAAGATATGGTCGATACAACAACCATGTCTAAAAACAGCCTGATTATTAGGGGTGCATCGTTCACGTGCGACAGAATCGACGGAGTATGATCCCAGCGAGACATTTAGAGGCTATGTTGATTAAACTAATTCCTCCTCTTCCGTCAACTCCAAGATGAACGCAGAACCTCCATCTTTAAAAGCCGATGAGAACAGCCCCTCTGGGCCGTATGTCTTATGCCATTGAACTTACGTATTTTGCGGGAACCCATTTCGGATGGAGGACTGCCATCAACTGAGAGTATTTCCCGGTCGAGGTGAGAGCCCCGAACTCCGAAACATTCAGCTCATTGATCAAGACGGTGTTACTGTTGACGAATCAGTGGGCCATGAGATTGATTAATTATCTCATTTACGTTTATCTTCCTAGGGGTCAGTATTCCTAATTAGACGGAAAAGTGTCGCAATTACCAATAGCCGCATCTTTCTCCATCTTTCTACACTTCTACTTACCACTTCTCGCGGTCGTTCTTCGGACTCTTGATGAGCTGGCGTTTAAGGGGTTTGCGCGTTGTCATTCGTAGTATTAAATGGAAGGGTTCTGCAGGCGTCCAGCAGGGCAGCCGGGGTCAACTATATCCATCGTTTGCGCTTTACGCCTGCGCCACAGTCCGCCGTTTTTTATCGATGTTTGCATTGTTTCCTTGATTTGCTTCCAGTGTTCACTGAGTCCTTCGACTGGTGGTTGAACTGATAGGCGATCGGAGTGCTCCGCTTCCAAGACTAATTTGCATCGATCGCAGACACCGTATCGTGGGTATCCGTTGCCGGTGGCTTCATTGCGGTTGTTTGCCAGGCGTAAGGAGAATTTGGTTCGTAACAAGGCTTGGTCTGTATCCACAGGTCAAGAAGGGAGCTCTAAGCCTGGGCACCAATGACACCAGGATTGTCGGATGCCGAATCACCTGACACAAGAGGGGTGAAGCCTGAGGACGAATTTGGGTCTGGAAAACACTGCGATATAATTGAGCTAGGGTCTTCTATGCGTGTTTTGGAAACACAACACGTCTAAATTGAATGTTTCGATGGTTCGAGACGAGGCAGCTTGTTGGCCGACCTTGAACATGGCTAGATGACAAGGACATTTTGGCTTAAAAAGCCATAAATTCTGATTATTTGGTTTTACCGGTAAAACGCTGAGTGATAGTCGATGTGTGACGCAGACCGGAGGCATCTGGAATTGTTCGGATTGAGAAAAAAAAACTAGACACATGGATAAAGGTTCTTCCAAATAGGTGTCGCGACTTAAGGTTACGACATACTTCGCGGCAGCCCACATCGACAAAGGGGGCTTTCTTTGGTAACCCGCAAGGTATCGGAGATTTGTTGCTTTTTCTTCGGGAACCCTAACTCAAAAGTGTAACCCACAAGGTAGTGGAGCGTAAACCTAACGCGGGAGCGTGACCGAAGCACCCGTGTGGGAGCTTCTAGTGGTTTGCCACACAAGGCCTTTGGATTTCGGTTTAGTGTGTTGTTCACTGATGCGGTCCGCTGTTATGGATTGACCCTTAATCTCATGCACCTATTTAGACGAGCGGAACGTGGACGGGACATCACCTTATTGACTAGGGTCTATCCCTATTGGGCGAGCGGTAGCTGTCCAGTGAAGCACGAAAACTTCTTCGGTATTAACACCTTGGGTGCAATGGAGAAGAGATTAATAGAGCAATCGGGGTGGAGGCCCTTCTTGAAAATAGTTCCCATCTCCGTCAAGCTCCATTCGGATGGAATGGATTCGGTATTCTGGATGGTTTGTATTATGAAAGTTAGTTCTCGGACAAAGCTTATACCGCTGTCTTTGAAAAGAGCCTTAGGGAGCTCATCTAGACTTGGCAATTTGTGGTGTTTCAGAAGTCTGAGCTCTTGGAGACTTCCTCGACAGGCGATAAAATGTCCGCAGACCATGGAGCACTGTATACTTCAGGAGATGGTAGTGATGATGTTGATGGCCAACTGAATTTTTGATGGAAGTGCTCCGCCCAAGCCGACATCGTAGACAGGATACATTCGCCATTAGTTTCTCATGTGGTTTCACTGGCCCATATTTCTTTGTTACTGATGGCTCCTACTAGTCGAAAAAGTTTGTTAGCATTGCTGGAAACAAGTTAGTTACATTTCGGAGGCGCGTTATGCCCACCAGGTTCCTCAGTCCCCTTTTGGGAACCGTTCCAGTTAGGCACTGAGAGTCCTGTGAACTTTGTTATATTCATTACTTGGAGGGGTGCTTCGACGAGTGTCAAGCAATTCGGGGGGACGTGCCAAAACCCAGTAATTGACGGTGCGTTTGGTGAAACCCCATGCTGTGATGGCAGACTTATGCATGGCGTTACGGATGCGAGTCCATTGGTTGTCAATGTTCGAGGATGACAGACTGTCTAGATCTGCAGCTGACGTATTTTGGTAGATGGTAACTACGTTTGGATCGGCCAATCCCATCAAATCGATTTTTCTCGCGTGCCGTTTCTAACCATAGCGCAGAGAAAATTGTATGCACACGAGTTCATGATTAGAGCCGTGATATATGCTCCAGGTGAATTTGCAGTCCGTTATGCAATTTCTCCATCGATAGTTGATGGCAATATGATCAATTTATGTACAGAGCTGATCAGCTGATGACACCGAGGTTTGCTGGCCCCCAAGTGAGGATTCGTCAGCGTTTAACCTACCTACTTGCGCGTTCAAGTTGCCGGCTGGTATCACAGTATCATTATGTCGCCTGCTATGGAGGAGGTTAGTGAGAACTCGTTATTTTTGTGCGTCGGGATTACAGTCTGTGAGCGCATAAGCCACGATGACAAACAGACATCTTTTGGTCCTTTTATAGTGTCAAGCTTGATCGCGGTTTGAGTCCTGACAGGGACACAAAAGTACGCACTGCCGACGAATCCCAAACAGGACGAAACAGCTGTTCAGTGCTCTTTGTTGGTTATCACAAACCTTTCCATCTCATTTAAATCTTTTGGTCCCGTTAAGAGATGCTCTTACCGATCCTTGTGGTTTGATAACGCGGAGTCGACTGTTGAATGGAATCCAGTCGAGTAACGC